TCTCTCCCTTTCCCTCCCATCTCATGTCTCTGTTTAATGCTAATCTTTTCTTCCTGCTCTTCCTCCCTGCTCTGTTCATAGTTGCTCTCATTATATCAAAGAAGACATTTGGTATTTGTTTTTCAGGGATTGACTAGCTTCACTAAGCATAATCTGCTCTAGTGCCATCCATTTCCCTGCAAATTCTATGATTTTGTCATTTTTAATTGCTGCATAGTACTCCATTGGACCACTGTTACATTTCCCCACTGTCCATCTCTATATTCTATTTCTATGGGAAAATGGGTTATGACATCTCCAAGTTGCTTCCTGCTGAAAGAGGGCAAAATTGGGGAAAGTAACCCAAAGTCCTTGTTCTCTATCAGGTAGGGCATGGACAGTTAAGGGTATTCAGCATCAGAGTAGTCCAGAGGTCCAAAGTGCCAAATGACATGTGACTGGACAAGGCATACATAGGGTAGGGATCGTGCTCATGCTAAGACAGCAACAAACAAGACAGCAAAGCATTACTTTTTTGTAAAAAAATAACCCAAAAGTACAATAGTGATCCACTTTATGCTTTGAAAATACCCCTTGGTGCTCTGCCAGTGCAACTTATTTTTATAATGGACACATGTCTTTCTCTTCCTCTCTCCCTGCTCCTCCCTAAATTCCCTCCACCCTCTCAGTCTCAGGGGAAACAGGATTACTTTTCTTCCCCATTTTAGGGAGATTTATCCGTTCTTGAGTACATATCCTCCACCAAAGGAATGAAGTAATCCAGATTTTGGGAATCCAGAAGATCTTAGAAATGATTTTCTCTCAAATTAACAAGTGAATTAAGTACAACTCCAACAGTGGACACTGGAATATAGCCTTCGAGTCACCTCTTTAAAAGCCACATTTTCCTTCCGATGGGCAGAATCACAGCCTTTGGGATAGAAGTCCCCTATATTTCTCCTTTGCTAGCAAAGCAATAAATCTTCTTTTTCCTTTTTCTGAAAACCATGTCCTCATTATTGGATTGGCATCAGGGATAAGGACCGAGCTTTCAGCAACAAATACAATTAGTATTTCAGCCAGTCCCTGAAAACCATAAAGACAGTAACTCATAATCAACTAGCTTGGTTTCAATTGCCTCAGAGAATCTTTCTAAGGACAGCAGTGACTTGTATGTTGATAAATCTAATAGGCAGAGCTCAGTCATCAATCTACTATAATTCATATGGCATTTGAAAGAGTGATTAAGAAAAAATTAGTGTCAGTCTGTTGGATTAACATGCTCCTTGTGGAAACATTATTCATTTGTTCTTTTCTTATCAATATATAATAATTGGTGTTATGGTTTAGATATGAGTATCCCTCCAAACTCATGTGTGAGACAGTGCAAGAACATTCAAAGGTAAAGTGACTAGGTAAATAAGAACAACAACATTGTCAGTGGATTTTTACTGACAGGATTAACTGGGTAGTAACTGGAGGCAGGTAGAGTGTGTGGCTAGAGGAAGTAGGTCACTGGGAGAGTGCTTTGAGGGCCTATATTTTGTCCCTGGTAAGTGGAGCTCTCTGCTTTTCAGCTGTTATGACCTGAACTGCGTTCCTCTGCCACACCCTTTTGTCATGATATTCTTTCTGCCTTTATCTTCAGCCCAGAGGTATGGAGTTGGCCAACCTTGGAACGAACCTCTGAAACTGTGATCCAAAATAATCTTGTTCTAAGTTGTTCTTGTTAGGTATTTTGGTCACAGTGACACAAGCTGACTAAAACAACAGGCTTCAAATAGCATGCAAATTATAAGAATATAAAACAAACAAGACAGAGCTCTGTTTAATGTTTTGTTGGACAGGGAGGATGAGAGAGCAGAAATAGAGCAACTTCCAGGCTTGAGCATGGGTGACTAGATGACAGAGATGTCGATGAAAGAGAATCTATAGGAGGGGTAGTTTAAGGCAGAAAGTGGAAGATTTCAGTGTTGAGTGTTATGAGTTACAATTATTTGCAGGACATCACATATAAATGCCTTCAGAGTAATTATAACAGAATCCAAATTGCAGGAAGCTAAAAATTGAATATTACATAAGAATGTGACAAAGGAATAAACATTGGTGGAGGATTCCCACGTCTGGTTTGCATCAAAGTAGTATTTACAACTAATTAAAAATGAATTACAGGACTTGGGCTGTAGCTCAGAGGCAGAGCACTTGCTTAGCATGTGTGAGGCACTGGGTTCAATCCTTAGGATTAAATAAAATAAAGGCATTCTGTCCATCTACAACTACAAAAAAAAAGAATTATAAAGTTCCTTTCCATATTCAGATTCAGTTGAAAAGACGTGCATTTCTATAAACTTTATAGCTGTACTGTATTCAATTTGCATTCTCTGGAAATCAGACATCAAGATGGGGTAAAAATGCAAAGATTTTCTTCTGATGGCCAAGGAGGAATACCTGTGTGAAAAGAAGYTGGGAAAGAGCCAGGGAAGACTCAGGAGTCATTAGATGGCATGCAAGTCAGCTCCAGGGAACGCAAGACAGTTGGGAAGATTCTCAAAGTGCTATGCAGGTAAGGAAGGTTTAGCAAGGATTTCAGGGAGCCCTCAAACTAAAGCATGCACACGAGGGAATCTGGGTCATGACTTAGTACTCCTGCCAAACCCAACCATTGGCTGGACTAGCCTATGGGAAGCCTGGTTAGGGCACAAGGTGATGATGGATTTCAGAACACAGCCGTTGAGGCCTTTGGTCCATTATATCCCCCATTGCTAGAGGTCTTGGAGTCATGTTCTTCAGACTGTCACATGTATTTCACCATTTTAAGACAATAAGGTAAGAAAAGGAAGCTTGAAATGGGCTGCAGTTGGAGAGGTATTTGGATTTGAGGCAAGGTTTCTTTCCCTCCTACCCCTAGAGAGATTTTAATATATTTGTAAGTCTGGTGGGGAGGGACATAAGAGGGAAAGAGATGATGTAAGAGGGAGAATGGAAAAAAATGAATTATGCAGGAAGAACACCCTAAAGGAAGTAGAAAGAAATAAGATCAAAGGTTCTGGGTATGAGTTCAAATTAAGGGAGAGAAAGGCTAATGACCTTCATGTTTTTATGAAATAGAAAGCAAGGATTTTCAGCTGAAGTAATTTTTTTTTATTTGTAGCTCTTCTTGCACAACAAAATTATACACACAAACTATAATAGAAGTCATATTTAGTATATTAAAATTAATTCTTAAAATATATTTTTATATTAAGATAATTATTACATAAATCTTTCTAGGTCTATGTATGTCCATTTCTTGATGCAGAAATCRTAACTCTGAAATAGTCTCCTAACCTAATTTGGAATTTTAAGAACTGACATTGCACTGGATTTATAGTATTCTCAATCAGAAATAATTACTGAAAATATACTTTCAGTGAATTATATATATTTCCTATCAAATGTAACAAACAAGAACCACTTTTGACATACAATTTTATTTAGTACTAAAAGAAATTCATSACAAGGGAATCTACTGGCTAGCCGAAAAAAAAGTAAACATTAAAATATTTCATAATTGAAGGGAATTTTGAGATGAATAGTTTCTAATCTGAGGACTTCGGGCCCTCATAAATTGAATGGTAGAAGTTGATGGAATTTTCAAATTTTCTCCCCACAACTTCTAAAATATGAAATTAGCAAATCCCAATGCTGGCTATTCTATTAATAAGTCAGGAGGGGATAAGGGATACATTATTTATCCTCTCAGTGCCCTCATCTGTAAACCGCAGGATTCGACTGTCAATTTTTCTCACCTTTTTTCACTACCAATTACTACAAGCTTTTGCAATTAGCCCTCCTACCCCAGATGTGTCTTTCAGAAGCCTTTATCCATTTATTAAACTCATTGATTAGATAATCATTAATGTATTACCTGTGTTTTAGTATTGTAAAAACCTCACTGAAATTTTTTAAAAATTCAATTGTAAACAAACTCAGAGCCTTCGTAGAGGTAAATGGGATTTCTATTAGTTCTATGTGTTCCTTTCTTGGGTGTTGGGTCTTGCACTTTGTGTCATGGCGTGTAGTGTTCTTAGCATTTGAAACCCAAATATGCTTCACATTTGGGGGGCATCTGCTTTGGGAATGAGTATGAATGGATAGGAAGCACCCTAGTCCAACACTAAGGTGCATTAATTTTGTGCTCCTTCTGTTGGCCAACTTCCTAGTAAAGGGCTAAACATTTTTTTTTAAGTTCTGCAGAGGTAATTGAAAATAAAATTTTTAAAAAAATCTTTAAAAGTATTTCTAGTAAAGAGGTTCCAGAAAAGGAAGGTGATTTTTAAGGTCCTTCTTTCAATTCTTCAAAACTGTAGGGTAGTCTTTTCCCTATCTGCTCTAGCTATAATAGTACTTTAAACAGAGTACAGAATTAAACTGTTAACATATGAATCTGCAAAAATGAAAACTTATTTTAGGCTCTTCTATAGTTTAATCTTAGATGTACATAATGAATGCATAAAGTTCTTATCAAATAATTAACATATATTTGCAATTAACAAATAGGGACAAACTTTGTACCAAAGTTCTGCTTCTATTATAATTTTTGGAAACATTTAACTGATTAGCAGCAAAGGAGCTAACTCTGGATTTTGAAAAGATACACAATTTGAATAGAGAATATATGATACTATCATAAGTAGAGACACAAACAACAGTTTTCCTTCTTGTGAGTTGTTTTAAAAGTTTCTTCCTTACATTCTTTATTCTTCTCTGTTACTTTTTGGACAGGACAGTCGTTTCTTCAATGATATTCCTTTTTTCCTTATTTTTTKGGGGGAGGGTAAAGGGAATCATGGAGATTTTATCTATTGTCTAAAAGAAGTACATTCACAATTGCAGACAAAGCAAAATGGGATATTTAATAATTCTTACATCTCACTAACATAATCTTTTAAGATACTAATTAAGTAGATTATTTTCTAAATTCAAAACTTCATAAAGATTTCCAGCATTTCATCACAAATGACAATAAGTGGTTTTGTACATTCGTTTTTTTACAATACCCAATAAAACATGCCAATTAAAATCCAGACTTCATGTTGGCAACTAATGAATATGGCAGAATGAACAGGACCAAGTGCTAGTCATTGTCATAGATGCAACCTGAAAGAAAAAGAACACAAATTTAAGTACAGTTACATAAAGTGCATATTCTTAAGTGTTCTAAGATTAGAAATAAGGATAATTCATATTTCATAGTTTAGGATTAAATAAAAGTAAAATGGGTTCATTTTATGAAAAACTTATTAAACTAAAGGCCATGTATGTAACTTTCACTGTTTAGTATACAATTCCAACTAAATTTCTGGACAGAATTAAACTCACCATCAAAATAAGACCCAAGATTATTTTATCTTGCGCTTAATTAAATGTAAGATTAAAAACCAAACATTGGTAAGTATCATATGCTTAAAAGACTAAAAGGCAACCTCATTATCACTAGGCTTCGCTTTAGCTGAGAGGAATTTTTAAAATCACAATTTAGAAATGTATGAAGTTTGTACATGTACATACTAGTACTATTTTTTATGAAATAAATACATATTCATTGAGTAAAAATGATGTTTATTTGGATAAGAAAATCTTAAGATTTATGGTACAAAGAAAAATTTGCCAAATATTTGTATAAAACTTCTCTTTTCAAAGAAAATAAATAAGAGTTCCTTTTTTAAAAAAGAAAAAAATTCAGCWCTGTGTGAAAGGAAGACTCATAATGACACCAGAACATTTACCTTTCCTCACATTTTCAAGTAGCTTAAATTCTGATTAGACAGAAAGGCTCTAATTAGTCTAACAAGCCATTTTCAGTATTGCATAGTTAATACTGTAATTGTAAATTCATGTTACTGTTCTCTGTGGTGGATGCTATCTGAGACTTACCATCAGCAATATCGTCATAGATCTCACCATCACTGTAAATATAAAAAATAATTTTTATTTTGTAGAAAATGTCTTCCTAAATTTAAAGCAATATATAGAAGAAAAGAGCAATAATGTGATTTTTATATAATCCAAACTTTTAAAAGTGAGAAGCTGTATGTTATGCGTTTGTAAGTAGCAAGAAACTTCATATTCCTCTGTATTTCTTCTTTCTTGGCTTTATTCAATCCTGCTTCATGCTACAAACAGAATAAAGTGAAACAGTCCTAGGAGCACACAGAATCTGCCCTGTCTGCCCATCTTCAGCCCTTATCATGGGCACACAGCTGTGCTCCCTAAGAAATGTGGTYGAACTGAGCCAATGGAACAGTCAGGGCACAGTCCTCCACTGGGAGCCTTGATCAAAAATGTAACAACTTTTTATAACCATTAGTAACAAATTCATAATTCTGCTTAGATTTCAAACATTGGATAAAATGCAATAATCTTCAACAAAGGAAATAGCTGTATTATTTTTACATTTCTAAGTATAACTTGTAAATATCAATTTTAAAATATATAACTATTAAATAGGGAATATGTAGTCAAGATATGGTTATTATGGGGATTCTTATGTTATATAATTATATAAAAATTATTTATCATTATAGATAGCATCTATAATAGTAACTTTGGCTTCTTTTATACATTTTGGATTTAGCCTGGTCCTGAATCTCTGTGAAATMTTTTATTTTATTCAACAAACAGATTGAGTCCTTTCTAAGTAGCAGGAGGCATAAATATGAATGAGACACAGGCTTTGATTTTAAGATGCTGATAATCTAATGAGAGTGATCTATAAATAATAAAAATAGAAGGCATTATAAATAGGATCATAATCTTGAAATACAGGATRCAGTTTCAAGTTTCACAAATGTGAGGTTGCTATGTCACTTAGACCAGACCCATTCCCAGTTCCTGTCCTCTCTCTGTGCTTTATCATAGCAGCAGCAGCAGCCCTTCAAATTGCTGCCAACTACGACAGATGCTRTGAGTTCCCTATGTCTTCTGTTTGGATCCTTTCTCTGAGAATGAGGGAGGGTTTGGCTAATACAAATCTCATGCAAATGAAAAGAGAACAGATTTTCCTGTCATTCATTTATTAAGTGTTCATTACGTGGTGAACCAATAATTAGACAGTATACGCTCTACATTCTCTTTCTTCTCCCTCTTTTTTCTTTGCACTGTTGGGGATTGACCCCAAGGACTCACATGGAGGGCAAGTGTTATACCTCTGAGCTACATCCCAGCATTTTCTTTTCTTTTCTTTTGAGACAGGGTCTGGCTAAGTTTCCCAGGCTGGCATTGAACTTTTGATCCTCTTGCCTCAGGCTGCCTAGTAGCTGGGATTACAGGCATCTATATTGTCTCTTAATCATCCTGTAACAATCAGTGATGAACATGTCCTCCTTGTCATACATTATTTCCATAAAAATTTATCTTTTATAATAAAAGCTATAGAAAATTCCCCCATGCCCACCACTGTTATTAAAGTTGTAATGGGAAAAAATGATAGTATGAATTTTTTGTTTTGACTCTGCTAGTTTTCTGATAGCTGCCTTACATTGATTTGTCTCTTTCTAATTGGTGTCAGATTGTATATGGATAAATAGTTTGTGAATCCTCCTTGATTTTTTTTTATGCTGAATTCCATAAATATTTGTATTGGTAAAGACTTAATCTAATAATGGAGTTCATTTCTTGCACTGTGTTTCTTAGAGCAGAATCTTAAAATAGTTTGGAGGACTCCAATGGCACACCAGTACCAAACTGTGACAGACCGTGACAACGTCTAATTCATAAAGATAGAAGAATCATTGACTATTCTCTTCTTTCTAGCATGCTTCCAATAAAGGCAACATAACAGTTTACTATGCCTGGTGTGAGTGTAGAAAAATTCTCAGTCGGAAGCTGAACTATAAACTGCTAACAGGAGATATTCGTATTTATTATATAGATACTATTTGGTCCCTAGTTAATTAAATTCAACCACTATATTAATCAGTAAGTAAAATGCAAAGTATTAATAAAAGAGTGGTTTTGATCTGTCTTTTCTATTTTCTAAGTAGAAAGCCCAGTGAGTATATAAAACTATGAACTGTTTAATCATTAATGAGAGGGGCTTTCTGCTTATTTATAAGTGGCACTTTATAAAAACCTTATTATAGATACCACCATATTAATATTAGTATAATATATTGTTTTAAATTTATTTATGATAGCATAGTAGGTTATATTATTTAAATTATATTAGAAATCGCTCTTAAATTAAATAACAAGATGCTTTTTAAAAATATGATAGAAAAAAAAATGGCCTTACTTGTCTACCAGATGACTCCGAAGGACATAACCATCTATGAAGAAAAGAGAAAATAAATTTTATTTACAGGTACAGGTTTGAAGAATCTTTAATACCCATTTTAAGAAATTGTCATACAAGCAAATGGTTATCATAATATATTGAATAATTTTATGTCTCTGAATATGATCAATTTTTCTTATTCATGTCTACTTTTCTTCCTTTCCTCTTTTTTCTCTCTTCTATAGATCTCTTTTCTCCTCCATTTATAATTTTTTCCTCCATTTCCCTTTTAAATTAAAAAAAATTCCTCTAAGATATGACAAATCAAAGTAAATGTTTCCATCAAATTTATTTCTTCAAGGTGTTACTCCCATGTTTTAGGAAGAATTTAGTAAGCATAGATTACAGAAATCATGTATATACAAATTTTGAAAATTTTACCAGAACTAAGACTTAGATTTCAAAGCTTATAATGAGCAGAGTCAGAACTGTGTTCAACTCCCTTTTCAGATGCCAGTCAGGTAATAGCTCTTTGGGTGGACTGGGGGAGGCCTTAATGGTAGTAAAATAGCTCTCATACTCATGGAGATCCCTCAAAAAACTAGGAAGGGAACCACCATATGACCCAGCTATCCCATTTCTTGGTACAAAAGAACAAAAATCAGCATACTATAATGATATAGACTCATAAATGTTTATCAGTGCAGGTCACAATAGCCAAGTTATGGAACCAGCCSAGATGTCTGTCAACAGAGGAACGGATAAAGAGAATGTGGTAGATATACACGTGGAGTTTTACTCAGCCATAAAGAAGAATGAAATTACAGCATTTGCTGGTAAAGGGATGGAATGGAGAAAATTATGCTAAGTGAAATAAACCAGGCTCAGAAAGTCAAGAGTCAAATGTTTTCTCTCATATGCAGAAGCCAGACCAAAATAAGGGGGAGATAGCACAAAATAGAATAGATATCAGTGGAGCAGAGGAAGGGGATTGAGGAGGAGCGGGGAGAGRCAGGAAGAGAGAAATGGTGAAATTAAATCAATCAAACTATGCTATATGCATATATGTCACAAGGAATTTCATCTTTGTATTTATAGTTTTTTAATACAATTTTTAAATAATTTTTTAAAATTTAAAATTTTGTCACTAATTTAAAAAACTATAAATAAATAGGAAGACCAGTAGAGTAGAGGAAGAGGAAAAGAGGAAGGGAGGAAGAAAGGAAAATGGGAATACTAGGGACTGAAGAAGGGCAAATTATATTCCTTGCTTGACTGATTATGTTGAAATGAACCCCAATATTATATATAACTATGATGAACTAATAAAAATAAATAAATAAAAATACAAATAAAATAGCTTTCATACTTGGTATGAAAGAGCTGCTCGTTCTGCTTTTGCCATTTGAGAATGCTAGTATTTTACTTCTTTGGAACAAAAGTGTTATTATAAGAATACATTTCAGGAATTTCATTAATACCCTAAGTTAAATAACCATATTTAACTTAATTAACTTATTTATTTTGGTAACCAGGTTTGAACCCAGGGGTGCTTAATTACTAAGCCACATCCTCAGTCCCTTAAAATTTTTTTTTTCCATTTTGAGACAGGGCCTCTCTAAATTGCTGAGGCTCACCTTTAACTTTTGATCCTCCTGCCTTACTCTCCAGAGTTGCCAGGATTACAGGGGTGCACCATAACTATGCCTGGCTAAACCATATTTTATGCAAGAAAACTAAGATTTTGTTTTCTTTTTGTTTGAGATGATGAGACTTTATATTTGCCCTTTATTTTGCAAAATCTTCCTAAGGAAAAGATTGAAATATTTATCCTGAGAATATCTGCTGACATCTAATTAATTTGGAATTGTTTTCTTTATGTTAGTGCCTGAAATTTATTGTATCCCTGAAGTTATCCCTTTAAGTATTCCAGGGTAAAAAACTCCACCAAAATATTTTATCAAAAAGTTCACTAATTTCTAATGAAAATTGTTTTTAAGCATAACATTTGGAAAAAGAAAAGAAATCAAAGTTATCTGTCCAATTTTGTAGTGTGGAAGTAACATAGCATATGTCAAAGTGATAATATGATAAAGTAATATTTTTCTCAAAGTATGAAAAATTAGACCTGTTTTGCTTTCTGTTTTATTGCAACTAAAGCAAAAGCAATAAAAATTACTAATATAAGAATACTTACAATTAATTTCTATGGTCTCTGGCCAACTTTTGGTATTATACTTTTTTCCATGTTGATATGGAATGTTAACATGTTTCATGTTTATGTTAACATGTTAATTTATTTTTAAATTAAGAAATATATCATAATTTAACACTTTTTGAAAAGGGATAAGCTTATGTCTAAAAAAATCAAATTGTCTCAAGAAAATAATGCAAGCAAGTAACACAAACTTGTAGAACAAATTAGATCACAGGGTTTTTTTGTTTGTTATTGTTGTTGTTTTTTTCTTTTCTTTTTTGAGATGGGGGTCCCACTATGTTGCCTAAGTAGTCCTTGAACTCCTGGGCTCAAGTGGTACTACGCCTCAGATTCCCTAGTAGTTACCTGTGTCTACCACCTGGCCCTGTATAAATACTAATTTTTTTCATGGTTCCAATAACTGAAATAGTTTTTATCTGTATCTCTATTGGGAGTTAAAATAAAATTTGAATAGTACTTTACAGATAATAATAATCATAGACTTTTTTCCATCAGTTAAAATTGTTTTTTTTTTTTTAATTTTGGATTTTCTCTTAAAACAAATTGGAGGGCTGGGGTTGTGGCTCAGTGGTAGAACGCTCACCTAGCACATGCAAGGTGCTGGGTTCAATCCTCAGCACCACATAATAAATAAAATAAAGGCATGTGTCCAATAACAACTAAAAAAAATTTTTTTAAAAAGCAGAAAATATTGCTAATATTATAAAAAATTGGAAAGTAAATAATACAATAGTAAATGTTCCCATGATATATTCATGTTTTTATTAATAATTTTAAAAATAATGATATATGTGAATCAAAGCTTTTACCACTGAAGTCAATCTATTTTGAGATATTAGGATTCCACAAAATCTCTGCAAGGCAGAAAATTAGACAAATATATAGGAAATTATAAGCATTCTCAGAGACTGGAATTGTTCTAGCATCAAATATATTTCAGGTTTTTACAAAACCACTAGAAGAGCTAAGAAAGGTGGTGCATGCTTATAATCCCAGCTATTCAGGTGGTGGAGGCAGTAGGATCACAAGTTTGAGACTACAATTTAGTGAAACTGTGACTCAACATAAAAACTTTAAAAAGGCTGGAATGTAGCTCAGTAGTACAGCATTTGCCTAGCCAAGGCAAAAACCCTGTGTTCAATCCCCAGWACTACAAAAAACAAAACCCAGAACAAATCAGAAAACAAAGCACTCAACAACAAGAAGACTAAACCTGTATAAGATTATGAGAATAAAGTTCAAAGCAAAAAAAAAAAAATGTAATCACCATTTTTAGATATTAGTTTTTTCCTATACCTTTAGGAAAACTCAATATGCTAAAATTTTGCAGGTCTGGATAAAATATTGCCTTTTAAAACATTAGTAATTAATGATATACAGTCCAATTCTTCAACTTCAAGAAAAATTGTAAACATTAAGAAATAATTATAAAAACATATATTCACTTAGGTTCTGAAAGCACCAATATATTTCCTCTTATATCTTCCCTGCTGAAAGTTCTATGAAACAATTTCTCTTTCATTGATAATTCTATTGTTGTCTTTGTTGTGTGTGTGTGTGTGTGTGTGTGTGTGTGTGTGAGAGAGAGAGAGAGAGAGAGAGAGGGAAAGAGAGAGAGAGGGAAAGAGAGAGAAGGAGAGAGAATAAGCACAGGCATCAATGATTGTGAATATTATTTAATAAAATATAGCATGGAAATGGAGTGTAGGATGGTACAATGCTGCTGTATTTTAGTTCCCTGACGATGTAATAATTTAGGGCTCACTAGCTGTAAAATCACCTATATTATACAGCACCTTACAGGATTAATGGCTTTTAATATAGCATAAGTTTTTCTATTACCTTTTAAGAATCTCTGCTCAAACTTCATTCTATTAAAAGCATTGTCTGTGACAATGTCAAAATAAGTGATTTTCATGAATTTTTATGTAATCTCTCTATTATAGTTCCTAGAAATGATTTTTTTTTCCCAGTAGAAGAGTGTTCTCTTTGGCTCACATAAGATGTTTGCATTGATCACAGGGAATGTTAGTAGAAAAATACAGAAAACAAATTTCGTCATGGTTCTATCGCATGTGGAATGGCTGCTGTGCTGTGAGTGCTGATATACCAGGGATATAGCACATCAAGTACAATTATTAGTCAGAAACCTCACATTCATGAAACAGAACATAATGGCTTGACATGAATGTTTGGGTAGAGCTAGTTAGGAAAGAAACACCCATCCCCCACCACGTGCCAGTTAATTTCCACCCCAAATGTTTGCTTGTTCTGGTGCAGATATCTCTCAGGATTGGCGACTCACCTCTTAGAAGGATATTGTGAATAGAAAATTACCAAGGAAATAGAAAATGGTCTTGGGAAAAACAGAAATGATCTTTATTCTAATATTTTCACTTTCTTACTTAATCAACATGACAATGCATTACTTCCTCATTATTTCATTTGCTATGTGTTCAGAAATAAAATTAAATTTACTCAATTTGGTCTTAAAGGCTGTTTAAAAACAATAAAATCATTTTAACAGATTTACCCAGACAAATGAAACAATGTCCAACTTCAAGGGAAAATGCCCATGATAGGAAGGAAAAAAAGGGGGAAAAAAACCCTAAAACAAAAAAAATGTGATGTATAATGTCAAAATGAAATTCTATTGATTTTATAAGAATATTCTCCCTTTCTTTTCTATCTCTATTTTTAGTTTCTGGGGCTTATATTAGACTGACTTTTTWAAAAATTATTTTGTTTATTGATTTTGAGACATGTTTTTGCCATCTTTTCCAGGTTGGCTTGAACCTTGGGCTCAAGTGGTCCTTCTGCCTCAGCCTACGGAGTAGCTAGTTCTGAGAATGTCAGAGTAACTTTTTTTTTATGATTTTAAAAATTTTCCTTAGTGAGCATGTGTTGTCTTAAAATGGAAAAAAACAATTTCCTTAAATGATAGGTTGGTAGGATTTGTGAAGGTCTTAAGCACCTTTAAAATCTCTCTTTATTTGAAATGAAGAACATTGTGGCCACAGATAACTCAGTTCCTGTCTCATTTCATACTTTCTGTAGGGAATTTTTCTCTAGTGACAGGAGGTGGGAAAACTTAGAGCTTATGAGACATTGAGTTCTAGAATAAGCACATGCATTAGCTAGAAATTTTAAACATTTGGGAATGTGCCAGAAATATATATATATATTTAAGATCCCAACACCTACACAGTTCACACTTCTTCAAGTCAGTGGGTGAAACTTGATCAAATGTAATAATGTCTATAAAAGTGTCTCGTTTTCTATTTTAAATGGTAAGGGATTGTTGTTCACACTTTAATCTGTGATTTCTATTGCTACTAACCTTAGGTTGCTTTCTTTGTTTCAATGCACTACAGAAGAATGAAGGGTTAGGAAAAGTGTCCCCATGGTGCTGGATTGCAGATACCTTTGCTACTTATCAGAAGTTGTGAAGAACAAGGAACAGAAGGATGGGGAGGCTCCTCAGTGAACTTCAATAAACTAACCATGCTACTAAGGCTAAGACGGAGAACTCCTGTCTGCTAACCAGTTAAACTATTCAGCAGATTTCTTCTTGTGAGTGTTCACATGCCAGACTTTCATCTRGCTACCCAATTCCCCAATTGTTACATTCAATCTAGCATGTTCCACTCAAGGTGAAGGGCACTGCGCCAAGGGTTAGCAAGCAATGTCAAGAATATGCCATTGAAGCTACTCTTAAGATTTAGAGTCTTAGACTGGTAAAACAATAATGACAATTGCAGTAGCAAAAGTAGTCTCAGGGTGGAGTTGGGAGATATTAATTATGATGGGGAGATATTAAATGTGTCTGGGAGTAGGGTGGGAGGTGCTTCTAATTTTAGATGACAACCGAGTTATTTTTAATAGACAATTATGGGCATTCCAGATCAAATAAAATTTCACAGTGGGATGAACCAGCATCATTTATTCAGGGAATGACAAGAATGTAGTGGATATTTCTGGGGTGTCAATTATAGATGGGAAATAGCATTCAGGGTGAGGCTAAAGGGTTTTATATGCTAGTCTGAAGTTTGTGTTTTGAAAAATAATATTTGGTTAGCAGTGTGGTGAGAAGATTGAATAAGGGTAAAGATGAACATATCATTTGAAAGGCTATTGCAATTATGTAGGTGAGGGATGGTTAAATCTATACATCAATCATTCTAAGTCCTGTAGAAGTGTGTGGAGAATGGATTAAAAATAAGCAAAATTGGCTGAGAATGAAACTCATTGGGAGGGAGAGTGCTTGCCTCCTATGCATGAGGCCCTGGGTTTCATCCCCAATACTGCAAAAAAGAATAAAAGAAATTGAATAAAATTAAGACTGATCAAGGATCCAGTCCAAGGAAGGAATTAACAGAAGGTTTATGAAAATTAGGGGAAAGCATGGTGCTTGAAAAAATAAAAATGAAATTAAGCAGATGCAATAATTAAATTTTGGAATAACACTTCATCTGAAAGGTAGTAGTAACTACTTCTGTCACTCCTTCTTCACCCTCAACTACTGGCACTTTGAGTAGCTATTGTCCAAATTTCAACAGGACATTGAACTGGAAAYGATTTTTTACCAAGGACTTTTTTTCTGGCTTCTAGAACTCTTTGTTAGGTTGCTCAACACCCCAAATGACTCCCTACCTGGCAGGAATAAGCTTCAACTGACTGGTACCTACATACCCCAATTTGTTTCCCACTGGGTGAGATACGCTGATGCTCAGAGATCCCCAGCAGCATTAAGTTCTCATTATCCAAGTGATAATTTTTCTGATTACAAGGTTTAGGGGCTGCCTTCCTTTCCTGGCTTCACTTTTGCCTACTGGTGTTTGCCAGAGTTACCTCAGAAACCGTGAAGTCAAAGGAATACAAAATTCAGCTCAAAGAAATTATTTACATAAAAAAAAAACAACAGGTGGCGCACACCTGTAATCTCAGTGGCTCAGGAGGCTGAGGCAGGAGGATCTCAAATTCAAAGCCAGCCTCAGCAAAAAGTGAGGCGCTCAGCAACTGAAGGAAACCCTGTCTCTAAATAAAAATACAAAATGGGGCTGGGGATGTGGCTCATTGATCAAGTGAGCTCAGTACCTCCTAAAAAACAAACAAACAAACAAAAAAACAAGTGTACATGTGCCAGATGATAGAGGCTCCCACCCCAAATACCTAAGAAGTAGTTATTCAATGAGCTTAGAAATTGCACACTGGTACTCTATCAAGAAAAGAAAAAAAAAGATGAGAGTTACATGAAATGGTTGACTATCATCTACCAGAAGTTTATGACATGTTTGCATGCTTACACTGTCAGGTTTTCGTTCCKGTTATGTTTGTTTTTGCTTTTGGTTGTTGTTGTTTTGCCATTGGGAACTTACCCCAGGGGCACTTTAGCATTGAGTCACATCCTCAGCCCTTTTTTATTTTGAGACAAATTTCACTAAGTTGCTGAAGGTCTTGCTAAGCAGTGAACCTGGCCTGGAACKTGCAATCCTCCTGCCTCAGCCTCTTGAGTTTCACTCAGTTTTAAAAGATGGTAAGTTATGAGAGGACAAGAGCCCCTCCAGTATTCATAACAGTACTTAGACTATTGATGTTCAAATAGGAAATGAGAGTAAACCGTAAAATTGTCTTTGAATGGCTCATTCTTACAGTCCACTGGTTCCTAGGAAAACAGGAGTCTTTTCTCTGCATTTCTATTACTGATACTGTATTTATTCCTACAGAGTTCTATTCAGATGTCTGCTGATGAAGTCAACTATGTCCTTTTAACTCAGTGTAGACCATCATSATTAATCATCTGCTTCTTAAAATGCAGAATGCTAGACCTCACTTCAAACCTACTGAATTAGAATCTACATTTTCAACAAATCCAAATAGTGGGGATATACTTTTCAGCTGGAGAAGCATGGCTTCAAATGGGATGTGTTGCTCAGGACAGGARTTTTTAGAATGTCATGTCAAGAATTTCTTTCACCATACCAAAGGCAAGGAGTGTCAAGCTTGTGCCATGGAAAGAGTTCCACATGACATATCAAGGAAAATTCTTTTGTGAAAAAACGTGAAATAATTTGGAAAGTAGAAGAAATATAACATATCTTTTAGACTCATCATCCTAACTGACCACTATTAACGTATTGATATGATTTCTTTTAGTTTAGTTTCTTTGTATTTGTGTGATTTTTAAAACATGATTATAAATCCTAACTCACATTAACTGGGCTTCTTATTTATCCTATTATGTCATGAGATATTCATCACATCATTATTATCAAAATCATCATTTTAAATATTCAATTTGGTATATTCTATATCACAATTATTTTGAAATTTTGAATTTTTAAATATTTTTATGACCTCTTACTGCATATAGGTATATTGTCCCCTGCATTTAAGGCTATTTCTTAGGGTTGATTCCCACAAATGTCAGTCTGAATAGATATTTTGGTCTCCAGTGGCTTTGTTTCCACATTGTCTCCAGTGAACTTCAAATCTAAAGATTACAGGTTCTTGCCCTTTATCTTTTGTACCCATATTCCATATTTCCTTTGAAAAGTTAACCACATTTCCTCCATGGTAACTTTAATCCTCTTCCCACACTCGAGTCACTGTTTTGTTCTTGAGATCCATTTCTGTTCCTGTCCCTGAGTCACTTTCCCCCTATTAAAATTAACCCGGGAGTCCATGTTTCCACGCAGACAGACTGAGCTAACCTGGGGCAGCCATGCTGGTTATCCAACTTCAAATATAGAAAATGTACTTTTGAATTACTTCTCCATGGATTTAAAATAAGCTTCCATCAACAATTTTGACAAAAATATTTCCACATATCAATTTAGTAGTGACAAAATCAAAGAGGACAGGGACTGTCTTCTATTTGGAACAGTATATTGCATTAAGTGCATCYAAATAGGAAATGAAAACAAGTGAATTTGCAAGATAGAAAAACTATAAATTCTAGATGTGAAATATGCTGTAAAATTTCAAAACTGGGTCAGAGCAAGAGCCAACTCATTCCATTAGCACAGTGGGTCTCACTTTAATGTCCATATGAACAAGCAAGAGAAGAAATTATGATCCCAGATTGCATCAGATTCCCAGAGCTTATGATTTGGCAAGTCAAGGGTCCAGGCAGTTTTAATATACACACAAGGTTTTTCTGATGCATGGTCCCTAGGCATATTTAGAGAAGTACTAATTTGGCATCAGGATACATATAGATAGAGATAGATATAGGTATAGATATAGATATGCTAAGAGGTAAATGAAAAGATTGAAATAAAATACATTTATTTTAGGACAGGAAACTCTCCAATTTCTTGATATTTTTTACAAATGACAAAAGCATAGAGCAAAACAAATTAGTAAATATTGGGTGATCACTAATGCTTGTTTGGCTGCTAAGTTCTGGAATGCTATATATGTACAGCATAAGCAAMGACTTACATTTTCCTTCTTCATTCCTGCAGAGAACTTTTGTATCATCTGTGTTTTGTATAACGTCAAGAGATTCTCCAGGTTTTATCTGCAGATCTCTAGTCCCCCATTTTTTAGASGTTAAGGAGGCTGAAACTTTAGTCGAATATAAAACTCTAATTTCACCATCATACTGGAAAATAAACACATTTGAGTTATTGGTTGATGTGTACTGTTACAGTAATTTATTTACTGACAAATGTATTAAGAAAGTATTTACTGAATAGTTCARCGTTTTCAAAAGACAATATAAAGAACATTAACGATAACTTTGCTGGGGGAAGTCACTCAGACCCTCATCAATTTCTTATAAGAAGTATTTTTTGATAACCTTTTTATCAAGGTTCAAAGGACAAAGAAATTTAACATATATATGCACATATACTGTTCTCATAGGACAACTTGCTTCATTTATTATAGGAATAAATTTAAATTCAAAATTAATTTTGTAGAAAATAAAGGAGTAATGATAGATAAATGTAATACTGAAACCACACTATTTAAGTGTGCATTTTGGTGTTTAAAATTACTGAATTTTTTTCATTAGTACTTTGAATTTTGCATATACTATTAAAAATGACGTACTTTAAATTTTTTTCTGAGGTCTTTTTCTTCTTTTCCCTGCTTTTTTAGCTTCTTCAGGTCTTTTTCTTCTGTCTTGGGTTTTCCAATATTGAGTCCTTGACTGGGGTGGCAACAGACATAAAACAACATTTTGATTAAAGAATATAAAAATAATAGACTACAATAGAGATTTAATTGATAACATTAAAATCTTGTTCGATACTGCTTTTAATTAATCATTTCTTGGAAACTCAGTACCATCTCTTACAATRAAGAATGACATTCCATAATGCAGAAGGGTTTCTTCCAGAGAACACAGATCACAAGGCAGAATGGAAGTGAGAGGTTCTCTATTATATGAAACCATAGAAAACACTGAGTAATGCCTGAGACATGGTTGTATTGTGGTTTCATGTGACTCGACCTGTATTTGAATCCCCTATATTTGATTTTATTTTTTGAATTTGTTCTTCTTAGTTACACATGACACTAAAATACATTTTGATAAAATTATACAAGCATGAAATATATCTTATTCTAATWAGGACCTTATTATTGTGGTTGGGCTTACTGGTGGGATTTACTTAGGTATTTTCATAAAAAATTATGTTGGATTTATTTTACTGTCTTTTCTATTCCTATTCTTCCTCCCTTCCTTTTGTTCTCCTTTGTCTAATCTTCTAAACTTGTATTCTTCCCCTACCCATGTCTTTATTGTGGTTTAGCTTCCTCATATTCTCAAAAACATTTGACTTTTGTTTTTTYAAGACTGGCTTATTTCACTTGGCATGATAGTCTCCAGATCCATCCATTTACTGGCAAATGTCATAAAGTCATTCTTCTTTATGGCTGAGTAATATTCCATTGTGTATATATATACCACGTTTTCTTTATCCATTTATCGGTTGAAGGGCACCTAGCTTGGCTCCATAGCTTAGCTATTGTGAATTGAGCTGCTATAGACATTGATGTGGCTGCATCACCGTAGTATGCTGATTTTAAATCCTTTGGATATATGCTGAGGAATGGGACAACTGGGCTGAATGGTGGTCCCATTTCTAGTTTTTTCAGGAATCTATGTACTTCTTTCCAGAGGTGTTACATCAATTTGCAGTCCTACCAACAATTTATTTGTGTTCCCTTTCACCCACATCCTCATCAACATTTGTTGTTACTTATATTCTTGATAGTTGCACAAACAYAGTTACCCCATAGTAGACAAAGGTGCCCCAAGCACACACTATAGAAAAGACAGCCTCTTCAACAAATGGTGCTGGGAAAACTGGACATCTGTATGTAGAACGAAAGTTAACCTCCATCTCTCATTCTGAACAAAGATCAACTCTAAGTGGATCAAAGACCTGGGAATTAGAACAGGAATCCTGCATATCCTAGAAGAAAATATAGGTCCAACACTTCAACATACTGGCTCAGAAACTGACTTTCTTATCAGGACTCCTAAAATACAAGAAATAAAATTAAAAATCAATAAATGGGATGGCATCAAACTAAAAATCTTCTTCACAGCAAAGAAAACAATAAAGAGCACAAAGAAAGAACCTGAAGAATGGGAGAAAATCTTTGCCACCTGCACCTCAGATAAGCCATTAATTTCCAGGATACACAAAAAAATGCTTAACACCAAAAATCCACATAACCCAATCAATAAATGGGCAAAGTAACTGAACAGACCCCTCTCCAAAGAAGAAGTGTGAGGGCTGGAGCTGTAGCTCAGTGGTAGAGTGCCTGCCTCACACGTGTAAGGCACTAGGTTCCATCCTCAGCACCACATAAAAACAAATAAATAAAGATATTGTGTCCATCTGCAACTGAAAAAAAAATAAAAAAAGAAGAAATATGAGTTGTAAACAAATATATATAAAAAATGTTCAACATCTCTAGCAATTAGAGAAGTGCAAATTTAATTCCCTGTATTTTAAAATCCTTCCTAGGCAATTAATTGACTTGGCTAATGTCACAGAAACAGCTTTTAAAAAAGATGCTTTTTAAAAAACTCATTTTTATGGTTTATAAAGTTTATCTGTATGTTTATATTTTTGTATATACTCAAAATGGAAAAAGAGGGCTATATAGCACAGGATATTGTTCAGTGGTAGAATGCTTGCCTAGTATTCATGGGGCCCCTGGTTTGTTATCCAGTATCACAAACAATAAATAAAAAGAAAAACAAAACAAAASAAAATGGCACCCAAGTGGGAGGCAGGATATGTTGGTTAATGAAAAATGCTTAGGTAAAATGAAGACTTTGTATACTATATTAAATAAGATGGTTAATATTCTGTCTTTAACTTAACCACTTTATTAAATTGTCTATTTGAATGTGTGTTTGTATAAAAGAAAGACACATTCTAAGTGTTTTGATCAATTGATGGATTTGATATTAAAAATAAAAAGAACTCTAAGGCCTGAGCATTGATAGTTGCTATAGCTCATTCATATCAACTGGACTAAAGCCAATTACCACGACAGAGGTGAATAAGCCTAAGACAGTGCTCTTCCAGACCAGCCACACACAGGATGATCTCGGAAGCTTTAAAAACAGAATAATGCCCTTGCCCAGTTCCTAGAAATTCTAATTTAATTTATATTTSCTTAAATTAATCTTAAGTTCTAATTTAATTAACCTGAATGGGGTCTATATACTAACACACATATTTTAAAAGCTCCCCAAGTGACACTAACTTGTAATCTAGGTTGAAATCTATTTGCTGGGTAAATATGGATGATAGGGAAAGGGCTAAAATGTTTTACGTATTAGTGACTAGTGAAATGGTTTAAATACTGACATTAATTTTTATTTAGATGATCTAAGATAGATTATTGGTAAGTGATTTATTTAAAATGTTTGATTCTAAATTTTTGATGCTTAGCATTTAGTTTATTCACTGTGAAAGAAGAAGCACATACCCTTTCTCTGGTTCTGCATCTGTCCTGTATGTGCACTGCCTCTTGGGAGACTAGGCACTGGTGGAGTCGCTGGTCCAGATTAGCTCTCCGGGGCCATAGAATCTACCTGAATGCAAAAATGCCCCACAAGCTAACTTTGAAAATAATTTATTTAAAAATAGACTAATATGTTTAAAAATATAAAATTGTTTTAAATTCTGAAAATAAGCAAAGGGTAGGAAAACAGTCCGTATCAGATGATGTTTAATCAGCTGGAGTTTGTTTTGCTCTAAGAAAAGTACCAGTATGTGATTCTGGGTTCCTGGAGAGCTGGTTTTTGGAATGTGGTGGCACTTCTGTAGTAATGCACAACAGAAAAATGCATTAAAATCTATCACACGTAGAAAGAACTTCCCCATGGTGAGGAATATTAAAACTTGAATGTGTTACTGAAAGTTTAGGTTTTCCTTTCATGGAGAACTGAAAGAAGGAGAATGATTTTTGTTTCATCTTGTTTGTTTTGCCTCTGGAACTTGATCTTCACATATGAATGACCGTATATTTTGCCTTCAGATTCTTTGATGTTGATGCTGCTCTAGTTCAGTAAAATTGGTTCAACAATGTTCATAAAAAAAGACTTAAGAGATTTTTCATGTATTCTTAAGGACAGCTCAGAAAAATAGTACTTCTTGGACCCACTTATGTCACTTCTGTTCTTTGATTAACCAAGTATATCAAATATATATATATATATATTTGGTTGTGGATGAACCTTTATTTTTATTAATTTATTTATTTGTATGTGGTGCTGAGAATGGAACCCAGGGCCTCACACATGCTAGACAAGTGCTCTACCACCGAGCCACAACCCTAGCACCACCAACTTTTTATTTGTCTTTCTTTTGGTATAACAGGGCATTCTTGTTTTTTATACACAGTATTATCAGATCATCTCACATATTTGGTTGAAAATCTGGAAGTATCCTACCACGTAATGTTCTATCCCAAAATAATTTTCAAAAGGTACTCCTTTTGTATTAACTGATTTTAACAGATTTTCAAACAATTTTGGAGGGGCAGGGTACTGGGAATTGAACTCAGGGGCACTTGACCACTGAGCCACATCCCCAGCCCTATTTTATTTTCTATTTTATTTAGAGACAGGGTCTCACTGAGTTGCTTAGCACCTTGCTTTTGCTGAGGCTGGCTTTGAACTCGTGATCCTCCTGCCTCAGCTTCCCCTGAGTTGCTGGGATGACAGGCGTGTACCACTGAGCCTGGCTCAAACAATTTTTATGTAAAATTAAATTGAAACCTCAGTTAAGCTGGAGAAGGTCACTATTCACTGTCGACTTTTTTTTCCCTCTTATTTTAAATGGAACTTTTGAGACTCTGATGCTTTTGTGTGTGTGKGGGGGGGGAATAGATATTCCTTAAAATCCTTAAAAAAAATTTCTCTTTTTTTTTCTCCTTCATAAAGGAAGCTCTCTGATGGAGGATAGAAGTGGCTTGAACAGAAGGGTGAGGGCTGAGATATAAGGTAAGGAGTATATTAAAGGCAAATTTCATTTTGGGATAAGAGTAAAAATAAGAAGAGATGAATTATTGAAATGGTTTATGATAAGAATCTCAAATATATTTCCCAGTGAAGAAATGAGCACATGAATGCAGACATCAGTGAGTTACCAAGTCAGTGAGGTTAATCAGGGGACAGTTAGCAGAACTGCAGAATCAGGGTATGGGGAAGGAAAAGGGGGGCAGAAGGTGACTGGGGAGAAGGAGGATGGGGACAATTGGCCCATAGACCTGGCAGAGAGTTAGAGCTGAGAGCAGAAGGGAACACAACTTTAGCAAGAGCTGATCCACGAGATGGCACACAGTAGACACACATCCCATCAGGATTTTATTCCAGTTGAATTTTCTAGAACAATCTCATTCTCAATCCTTCATTATAAGGAAAGCATTTTTATTACCTCACTTCTGCTGGTGGAGCAGGGAAATCTGAAGCATCCACATCATCATATACTTCTTCTCCCAAGTCTAACAAAAGACAGAAGATCAAAGACTAAAACACTATTCACTTAAATTTTGATAGGAGTATTCATTGATGTCTTTAATATAAAGATTGCTTCAAGAATAAAAGCCAGAAGATTTCCTGGAGTCTGAGGATTTTTCTCTTACAAGCATTGTTTGCTACTCAAAATGGGGAGGTTCTTATCTTCTAAGTTGTGTGTATTAAATTTCCCTCAAAAAAAAGAATAAATAAAGAAAAAACAATGATCATGATTCTATGATTATAGCTACCATTATCTGAAAAAAAAAAAAAAACCTCATGGTGCAGTGACTGTAATTATCTAAATATCCAGTAGTGGGATGAATGACAGGAGTAACAAACTGCTGAGAAAGAAATCATCATTATTGGCCACCAGCAATAGGAAATGGACATTGAAATCCATATTCTGCAGGGTTTGGAGCACTTCAGTCATATGTATCATTCTATTTATGCATCTATGTCTATGCCTGTCTGTCCTCTAAATACTTCCGTTCTACTTGCTGATCTAGATTTATTTTGTTCAAGGTAAATTTAAAACTTTGAAAGAACTGTCTCAGCAGATCAAAAGATAAACTTGACTAAAACTGCACAAAGAAAAAATGGTTTAACTTTAAATTTTCCAAATATAATATAAATTATGTATAAAAATTCAAAGAAATTAGATTCAAAAAGGCCTCAGTGGCATATAAACTGGCATGCTTTTATATGCGAGAATCCTATATATCAAGTGTGGACTGAAATGGGGCAGAGAGACATGGAGAACATTGATGTTCATCTCTTCTACTTATCCCCAACTCCACAGTGTTTTCTGGAAGATTTGTTTTAAAACGCTGAGCTTTGTCATTTTCTCATTTTATTGTTGAGCAGCYGTGGCCACCCAAGGTGAAGTTGCTTGCGTAAGGTCACATAATTTATTATATTCAAAGTCAGGACTTTAATGCAGATACTGTAACTGCATCCAATGTTTCCCACTACCCCATGGGCAAGAAATAAAGATATAAAATATATAATTAGTTTTTGTTACTTACCCAATTGGTTAGGAGGAGAAGGGAAACTGGAAAGAAAATGAAAACACAAATATAATCAGTATAATATGAACCTAGAAAAAAAATGATTTCTTTATATGAAAGAAGTGTGAACAGGCAACAGCCCAGAGGTTTAAAAAGGTTAATTAATCTGTTGACCATCATTCCTTTCTTATCCTCCATTGTTCCAGAGTTCTAATATCTGTGCATCAATTTAAAATTTAGCAAGACTTTGTTTTGCACCCCAGTGTTGGCCAAAAAAAGTAAAAAATCAAGACAGTCAATTGACATAAAATATACAAATGCCCACAGTCATTGAACAACATTTTCAAATTGTTCTGAGGTTTGTACATATTATTGCATCAGAATAAATTAAATAGACTTCATATTTTGGAGTCATTTGTGACATACATATCACTGGTCCAAAACTGTTGAATAGAATTAAAGAAGAAAAATGCAGAGTAAAAAATCAACAAAGGTCATAGGAATATGACCATATTTCCCCAAATGCATATTATATTCCCTCAAAGCAGGAGAATAGTGAATAAGAGAGGAACATCCACTCAAACTAAAGAGTGAGAGCTTATTAATAGAAGTGATCTGAAATCAGAATTAGGTGGTGTTTAGTTGCAACAGAAAAACAGCTTTGCTTTTATTTCTTCCTGAACTGTGGATTTTAAATACACAGAAACACAAACACAAACATACAAATCTTTTAAAGAATAGTGCATAGGATAGAAATGACTTATGAGATTGTGAGGTATCATTAATTAAAATAATCCAAAATCAGAATTGGGTGGAATGGAAGCAGAAAAAAATCGGTTATTTTATTTCTAAGTAAAAATTACATATGAGTAATGCTGTTCAAAGATTTATTCTAATGTTTTCTTAAAATTTCAAGTGCACTGTTTATTGACTGAGGTCTTTTGGTGTTTCATAAAAGGTTTAAAATTGGTAATTTTATATGGAATTAACAACTTTTCCTCTAGTGAAATGTGGTGAATACATTAAGTACATATAAAACAGACTTTCTTGTGCCGGGGAACATGAACCTTCAAATTCATATGTAAGGATGTATACTAAAGCGTTATTTTTGGATGGAAAAAGAAAATGCATGCCTTAGGCTTCATTTAGGCAAACTTGAGATAGTTAGATAATTTTAGTATAGGAGGAATATAATTCAAATAGAACTAATATATTGCTGTTATGGAACAGAGTTACAAAGACTTTAAATATTATATGTAATGAAAAGAAATTCTAAATTGTGCCCTTTAATTTTAGCAAATTCATTTTTAACAGAGAAATGAAAATGTGAAGATTTGTCAATATAAAATACAACATATTTTACTATTTGCAGTGCTGGAATTGGAATTACAAGCTTTTAGATGGAAAGTTATAACTTAAAAAAAAGCCCCACTAAATGGTGTATTCATGTGTGTGTGAGCATATGAGGGTTTATGTGCTGTGTGTTGTGTGTGTTTGTGACAAAAGTAAATTGTCTTTGAATTAAATGATGATTTTTGAAATACTTGGGCTTCTTTTATGTAATTAATTTGTGAGTTTAAGCATGACACCATATGTGAGTCTAAGATAATTAATGGCCAATAACATCAAGATGGTTTAAGCCTATCAGGATTTGGTTATTAGTTATAGAATATTAGTAGCATTTAATTCAATTAAAATTAGTGTAGTTATTGTGCACTGAGTTCAGTTGGTCGACTCTTACGATGAACCTTCATCATTGTCTGACTCAGAGACTTTACGTTTCTCTCGTATACTTTTCTTTTTGTCACTTTTTCCCTTTATCATCTTCAAAATCCCCCAGGACCACGTGCTACTCTTCTCTTCCACCTGTAGTGTGGAGCTTTGGAGCCTGCAGGCATTAATTAGAATGAGATAACCAGCAGACCATGAAAACATTGTGTGGATATCTAGATGTGTTATAATTACACTGTCAGGTAGCAAGTAAACCTGTAATCAATGAGGTGGTGCTATTAAGCCTATAGATCTTGTGTTTGAATATTGTTTCTACTAGGTGGGTCATATTTTCTATTTAGTGATATATCTTGATTCTTAAAATATAAAGTTAAGTCAGAATTAAGTTTAAAACATTGATTTAGCTTTATATATAATTAAAATTAAGAAATTAATTGATCTTAAACTTTAATATGCTATTTAAAAATGGCAAGAGAAAATTTATTATTAAACTAAAATATTATTATTCCCATAAATTATCACAAATATTAAGATGTTTATTACACAAGCTAAAATATTAACTAATCAATGTTGGTTCTGCCATTGGTAGCAAATAATCTAAATTTACTTGGGTTGTTTACAATTATGTTCTTATACAAATATAGCCATGTAATTGATAAACACTTCAGATAGCATTATAAAAATAAATGATCAATTTAATAAATAAACAATTGGAAAAAGTGTAAAAAAATCTACACCACTTATAATTTGTACCTGTTTTATTTCTTTTGCCATCGTTGGTGAGATTGTTCCAAACAATCTACCATCTTTATTAGAAGTGTGATTCAATTACAATTCTTTTTGATTAAACCCTCAAATCATTTTGGGGAATGAAATAAAGAACACTGCTTTCTGCTTTTTATCTTAATTGGAAATTAAAACTAAATTTCCATATGTATATAATATTTTGCAAAAAGGCAACCCACTGATTATTCTTACCCATCATTAGACTCTTCCTCTTCTATTCCATCATAAATATCATCATCTAGTGGTGGTGGTGGGAACCCTTCATTTGGATTAGGGAGGAAATCTGTTAATTTTATAATATGGTCACATACAGATCAATCATATTTTGATAATAAATTTTTCTTATTTGACTGGAGAAATTATTTCTCTTCTATATAAACCACTTAAAAAGACAAACCAATCAACTAAAAAACCTCCTTAATTTCCCACTCTATATAGATAGTAGGTAACTTCATTGTTTTGTTTATCATTTCATAAAAATTTGGGGGGCAGAAATGACAATGAAGAAGGAGAGATAAAATAAGATGCTCTGAACTTGAGATGAAAGTGATGTGGAAGAATAAACACGAGAAAAAGAAAAACTAAGTAAGGGAGGTATTCATGGTAGAGAAGTCAATGAGAAAAACATTTAGTTAATAGTGAGCAGACTTTCAGAAAATAATTCGGATCAAGATGTAAGTGAAGAGAATCCAACAGATTGAAAGGTGAATCTGTAAATGTTGGTGGGTTACAAAACAGGAGGAAAAGAAAGATGATATTTTAATGCTTGTATGTTAAATTTAAGCTCTTTCTTGACTCATTTGTTATAGTATACTCTTTAAGAATCTTGATATTTGATAAACATTTACTTAATAAAGTTTCACCAAACATGTTCTAGGTACAAGAAAAGGTACAATGAACTTGAAATTTAACTTTTTGTATGAAAACTTGAGCCCTGTTTTGTTACTAAGAAATTCAGGGGTCTTTTAGGAGCCGCAGTCATACAACCATATATGCTGTTCTCTAAGCAAGCATATTTTTACACATAAATTGGCCTGCTTTTAGTAACTGCTTGGACAGTTGGCACAAACCAAGACCACCTTGGATACACTGAGAGTGGTGTCAAGCTGGAATTCACAACAAATTTGAAAGAAAAAAGTGAGTTGTTCAGAGTCACTCGGTGACCATGACTAGCATCCAGATCATTAACTCTCAGGCCAGTATTCTTTCTCTACATTAAGATCTTCTTCTATATTGGCAAACTAAATAGTTTTTCATTAACATACTAAAAATGTTGTAAAGAAACTTGTAAACATTGACAAAAAGTGTGTGTCTTACCTCCACTTCCACTATGACTGTGGTTATGTGAAAAAAAACAGAAATATGAAATTAATACATGAGTTATTTAGCTCTCAGGAAGCAAATAATATATTATAATAAATAATATACATTGAGCAGTTATACAAAAGATAAATAACATTCCACTTAAAAGTCACCAAGATGTGATATGAAGAGCAAAAAAAAAAATGTTTCTTGTGATAACAGGTGTATAACAAGACAACCTAGCAAGACAAACAAAAACTAAAAACCAAGTGAGTCACAATACTACATTTTATATTCAATTCCATGATTCTGTTTTTTTTTGGTGATGCTGAAGAACCCAGGGCCTTGTGCAAGTGAGGCAAGCTCTCTACCAACTGAGCTGTATCCTCATCCCCTCTGTTTGCTTTTAACATTTTTCTGTGAGGCAATTTTCAAATTATACATTATTGCATAATTCCACAGATTGACTAAAAAMAAATACCCTGAAAGTACTATTCTAGAAGTCATACAGAGGAATTATCATTGAGCTAAATTCAAGGATCTTTCAGTATCGTAGAATCACAGCATTTTACTTTTAGCCAAATAACATTAAACATCTTTATTTAAAGAAAGAAGATTTAAAACACTGAAACCTTCATGGGGAATTTTTATGACATGGCCCATGACTCTCTAAATCCAGATTATCTCTATTTATTAAATTATTCACTTCCTAACATTCTATACTTTATCTATTTTAGTGTTTATAATGATATGTTTTCTTGCCTGTATCTCCCACTCTGGTATGAGTTATTTGAAAGCAAGGACAATGTAGACTGTGAGAACTGGAAAAAACTCAGAAGTCATCTGTTCAATCAATACCCTATTTGCAAGAAAGAAGCTGAGGCTCTAAGGATTTAAATGACTTGACCAAACCCACTTCTACACCTAGTTGTGCTCCCTACACCCCTCACTTTTGACCTTTGGATAATTTGCCAGCAACCGATATCAGTTTGGTGTCACAACCATACAGGAAAATTACATGCTCATATCTGATTTCTTTTTTAAAAAATTTTTAAATAATTCTAATCAGTTATATATGACAGTAGAAAGCTCTTGGATTCATTGTACATAAATGGAGCAGAATTTCCGCTTCTCTGGTTGTACACGAAATAGAATTACACCACTGATGTAATTCTACCATCTTTCCTACCTCCGTGACCCCTCCCCCCATCCCTGATTTCTTAATGTTAACAGTCAATTGAGGAAATTGATCTGATGCAGATCTTGGGTCAATTAGAAGTAAAACATACTGTTGCTAATGGAACTTTATAGGAAAACATGCTTTAATCATTGTACTATATACATAAGAAACTATTTAAAGAAGTTAAAGTATACTCTCTACTTGCTCTTGAACCATTTTCACATCTATTTTCTCTGACACTTTCCTCAGAGCATGAAGCCAGCAGTTAGAATCAGTTTGCATTCTGGTATGCTTCATCTCAGAGATTCTCATACTCAGTTTCTAAAGAGTGGGGTTGTCATAAGCAAGGAGAAAAGCTACCACCTGCTTATTTCCCTCTAGAGCAATTCTTCAACTTCCTAAAATGACCTGTTTAGAATATAAAACACTTGACAGGGGAAGGAGAGCGAGTGAGAAAAGAGAGGGGAAGAGAGAAATTCATGGATTTGCTGCGTGATAGAAGAGTGCTAAGTTCATCCCCAATTGCCTTTCCTTCACAGGCATTACAGAAACCGCTGTAGTTGAGAAGACAGAGGGAAGGACAGCTTCAGAGCCTGTGCTTTCAAGTCTTGTGCCTGCTCTCAGAGTCTGAAGTACACAGCCATCTTCTCACCCTGAGGAAATCAGGAAGCAGCAGGTAGAGGGTGTAGGGAGATGGCAGACCTGGGAGGAGGGCGAAGGGCCTCATGATGATGGTGACTTATCTCCTTATTCTTACTCCAGCAAGCTGCCGGCTACACTCAGCATCTTCCCCTTTTCTGCTAAGGACAAAGCCTGTTCTGTTATGAGAACTCGGCTAGCAGCAGCTGTAGTTTCAAAAATAACCMATGTGTAGAAAGAGTTTCTTCTTCAATTTTCTTATTAAATATGCATGGGGAGGGGTAACTGCTAGTAAACATTGTGGGGTTATAATTAAGAGATCAAACATTAAAACTGTACACCAACCTCTCCTCTTATTAAATAGAACACTTTTCTGCTCCATGTTTACTAACTAGAGCATGTTGTTTAGAATGAAGATATGTATGAACTGGATAAAAAAGTAGGAATAGTTTTGGGATATGTTCTCCTATTATGGTTAAATTATGCTTTTAGGAACATTATTCCTTTTCTATTGATTTATTTATTTTTCTTGAGTTTACATACCAGTGAAAATGTGTACTTATTGCAAATGGGGTTCTTTAAAGCCCTCCAAAAGAAATGCATTTTTAAAAAAAGCAAATAAGATAAAAATACTGCATATGAATTGATAAATATTTGACATATTCATGTCCAGAAAATTATGTAAATTGAAGAATGTTAACCATTGGGAACTTCATCTGATGCCCAAACAAGGTCAATGTGCTTCTTATTATGAAGGCCAGTGTATGATCTGCAGACTGTAGTGCATGCTTTGCATGTGTATTTTGTGTAATTTATGGTTATAAAATGGTGAGAAGGCGTAGGAGCTATAATTTAGAAAGACAAAACTACCTCAAAGCAACAAAATGAGAAAGAATGATTATATAAGGTAAAGGATCATAAGAAGGAAATCTAATTCTTCATATGCTTTATAAGTATGTTACTAACTTGGTGCTTTTACCATTTATTGATACTTTAAAAAATTTCTCCTTTTCAATTTGAGTCATGAAACATGCATACACAGTTTTACTCAGGTAAAAAATTGTGTTTTTTTTTGAGACATTAATTGAGATTTATTGATTTCATAAGGTGGGCATAGAAAAATGAGGATTCTTATTTAGGCTCGAAATTTTTCTACTACTTTCCCTTCAACTTGAGGGCATTCTGTCTTTTAAAGGAAACAGAAGATATTGGAGGAAAAAAGAAATGGAAGAAGAAAAGGAATGAAAAAGTACAGAAGAAAGGACAAAGAAAGATCAGATCCAGGACAGAGGGAAGAGGAAGGATGTAGGGAGAAGGAAATTGAAGACTGAGGAAGGAAAGAAGGGAAGAAAGGGTTCCTGGTTTGAATTTGGATAGTTTTCCTTCTCCAAAGGCCCATGTGTCAAAGATTTGGTCCCTAGAATGTGGGTACCGGGAGTGCTATGGACTTGTAAGAGTGGAAGCCTGATGGAAGTTTCATAGGTCATGTGGGCAGGCCCCTGAAGGGAATTATGCACCTCGGTTCTTTCTCCTTCACCCCCTACTTCCTGCTTTGTAATGTGAGCAGTTTTCTCTGACATATACTCCCTGTCATTACTATCTGGCATCTTTCCCAGAGGCCCAAAGCAATGGGACTGCTTGATTTGGGACTGGAACATCCAGAACTGTGATTAAATAAAACTTTCCCCTTCATAAGTTAATTGCCCCAGGTATTTAATTATAGCAATGCAAAGCTGATTAATACAGAGGAATGAGGGAAAAGAGCCGATTTCTTCTCCAACTTCTTCCAGAAACAGTGTCTTGTTCTAAGAAGGCATTCCTGTTATTATTGGAGGGGAGATCACCCTAACTGAGTGGAGGATATGGCCAATAGAAAATTGTACCCTTAGAGGCCAGGCACAGTAGCACATGCCTATAATCCCAGCAGCTCAGGAGGCTGAAGCAGGAGGATCTTGAGTTCAAGGCCAGCCTCAGCAGTTTATCAAGGCTCTAAGCAACTCAGTGAGACCCTGTCTTTAAATAAAATACAAAAAGGGGTCAATGATATGGCTCAGTGGTTAAACACCCCTGGGTTCAGTCATCTGTATATGTATAAAAAAAATTTATCCTTAATTAATGTCCAGGGATCATAGGGAACTGAAATTTGACATTTAAAGAGTAAATTGTTGGCGAGGCAAGCTGGATCACACCTGTAATCCCAGTAACTTGGGAGGCTGAGGCAGAAGATTGCAAGTTCAAAGCCAGCTTCAGCATCTTATTGAGACYCTCAGCAACTCAGTGAGATCCTGTTTCTAAATAATACAAATATATATATATATATATATATATATATATATATATATATATATATATAAAGGTTGGGAATTTGGCTCAGTATTTAGGAACCCCTGGGTTCAATCTCTAATACCAACAAACAAACAAACAAAAAACTGTTGTCATAAAAACCATTTTTCCTGGGGCTGGGGTTGTGGCTCAGCGGTACAGTGCTCACCTAGCACATGCAAGGCCCTGGGTTCGATCCTCAGCACCACATAAAAATAAATAAATAAAATAAAGGTGTTGTGTGCAACTACAACTAAAAATTTAAAAAAAAAACATTTTTACTGTTATATTTTCAAATAATAATGTATTTAGTCTTAGATTTCAGAGTAAAAAAAGGGCTAACCTTTTTTTTTTCTTTATGTTTTACCAAATCCTATTTGCTTTAGGAACATAACTAAGATAAGATACTAACGAATACTACAAAACAATGTTTTGCAATGACAACACATTTGACATGCTCTGGCAAGTGGCCCACTATATTTTAAAACCAAAAAGTAGAACAGAAGACTATTTAGTTTCCAGTGACCTTACAAGGACATTGGGTTGGTACAAGTGGCGATTTAGTGATAGAGAACATTAGGAAATACAGAAGGTAAGAGTCTAGGGCTTTGAAACATAATCTCCAACAAGGAGATAATCTGGTCTGTCTTACAGTATGTGCTGGCACATACCTGGTGCTAGTATCCTGCTCTGCAACGTCATCATATACTTCTTGGTCGTCTTCAACAGGCTTTGATGATAGAGTACTGAGAGAGGATTTCTTCCGTCTCAAAGAATCATAGTCAATTTCTACAGCAGTTGTTTTAATATAGCCATCTACCAAAAAGGAAAAGACTTAGGTTTAGGCAACTACCACTTACATATTTTAAAATTGTGAATAAAATATCTGTTGCACATGTGTTCTTTAAAATTTCCCTTTATTTACCTGCTTTCAATTCTGAATTATACACTTCCCAGGTGGACACATTTTACTGTATTCTGTCAAAGGTTTATCCTGTTGTGTTTTGGGGTAAGTCTAGGGTGTATTTTAAAGATTTAAAAATGAGTCACATGAAACATTTCCCCCAATTGTCACCTGAATGAAGAAACTAATGACCTCTGACCTCCCTAGAATAATATACAACTTTACATTGGTTCCCACTAAGAATATAAATGGTGTGAAAATGGGTCCATTCTTGCCATTTTAGATTTTCCCGCCTTTGACAACCCAGTAACTCCTAACTTGATGGTAGTAGTTCTGGAAGAATATGAACATTTAATATTGACTGATGAAAAAATAAAAACAAAAACAAAAAACCCTTCAAAGCCACAGGGAAATGTACACTCACAGGACCCCCTTGCTGTTCGGCCCAACCATTTTCCTTCAGGATTGTCTGTGATACGGATTATTTCAATCTCTTCTCCTTGCTTGAAACTCAGTTCATTCTTTCCTCCTTTGACATCACAGCAAGCTTTTGCTAGATGAATGACTTGAATAGGGCCCGTTAGCTACAATGAGAAAGAAAGAAACAAACAAAAAACAGGTTTCCTTGCTATCAGAAAAACTTAAAGAATGCAGTTTGGAAAGATAGATAAGCCCACAACTTGCTAACCTGCCTATATCAACACTTTAACAGAAATGTAGGGTAAATGTCATTCCTGGTGAATGTTCTGATAGGGGCATTAGGGAAAACTCACAGAGGCCACACAGGACCAGCAAAGAACAGGTGAACCAGTGTTTGGGGGCCAGGAGAGAGTGGCAGGGATCTGTAGTCCATAGGAACTGCAGGCAGGAGGCTTGCAAAGGCAACTCCTCATAGTGGAATATCATTTAAATACAACTCTATGCTGAGAGCTTTGTGTTTTTTATGGGATATGCTGGTGTTTTTTTGGTGAAGTGTTTTTCCTCTTTGCATTGTGTAATTATTGTTTCTCTTTTTCTTTTCCTCCCTCCCTCTACCTATCCCTTCCTTCCTTCTCTCTCTCTCTTTATTCATAATCCAAAAAATTGATTTGGTTCAATAGAYCCAAGAAATTGACTGGACTCAGGGCCTTGGGCATGCTAAGCCAGTGCTCTACCATGGAGCTACATCTCCAGCCCTGGGAATAATCTAATTTAGATCATGAATTCTAAACTCCTAATTTTCTAATCTTAAATAGGTTTCTTGGATCTTTTGATATGTAAATATGCATTGTGAATTTTGAAGATGCTATACCTTATTTTATTGAATTTACAATGCCATGGTATTAATTATATACCACTAAGAAATTTTAAAACCTTAAATTAGAGTATGCCATGATATTAGACAGGCTCAGTTCTCAGACTTATCTAACTTTTTTTTTTAAACTAAGCATCTATTAATATCTTATGGAAGAAATATATCTCCTAAAGTCAGTCTTGACAAACTTTTTGAATTCATAGCAGCATGGCACACTATTTTTCTCACTCAAAAATAGTCTTTGAATGAATAAGTGAATAATGTAAAATTTATTTTTCCAAAAGAACTCACATAATTCCTTGAGAACAATGAGTAATATGTTCATAAAAAGTGTAACATACAGCTGGGTTTGGTGGTACATGCCTATAATCCCAACTACCTGGGAAGCTGAGGCAGGAGGATTGCAAGTTCAAGGCCAGCCTCAGCATCTTATCTAGACTCTCTCTCAAAATAAAATTAAAATAACATTCTGAGGATAGAGCTCAGAGGTAGAATGCTTGCCTGGGTTAAATCCCCAGTACTGCAAAAATGAAAAAAAATTATGTAATTTCTTTCTCTCAAGAAGTTAATTTTCTTTACTTGTAAAATGCAAACACTGGTAGCGATGCATTCTGAGTAAAACATTTTTATATTCAAACTCCACTCAGAACTTACTTATTGTAAGTCAGCTTTTCAAAAATTTAATAAGAGCATATAATAGATTCAGTGACTTTTATAACTTTTTAGTTAATTCTATAACAAACTTTCTGTAAAAGTACTATTTATTCTTGCTTCACAGAATAAAAATTAAAAGAAAAACATCTGAGCCTTAGAGAAGTAGTAAGCCCAAGGTCATGTAGCTCATATGTGCAGGTGGTTTTTGAATCCACATCTGTTGACTCTATGTTGTGTTTTCTGCATCATGCAGTTGAATCTATAATTTAATGAATAAATCTACTAGGAAATTCTACGCAAATCAGGTTGTTTTAATTCCAATCATATATTAAATGCTTCAGAAGAGTAAATATTTAAAGCAAACCTGATATGAATTTATGAAAAAAATTTTTTAAATTCAGATAATTGCCCTAAATATACTTGAGATGCCAGACCCAGATCAGATGGGCTATGTTAACAAAGATGGTATAGTCAAGAAAGGACAGCTTGTGAGAGTAGTGTTTTGTGATGGTTGCAATAGAAGTCACACAAATATCAGAGATCAGAGAAGACAGAGATTAGAAATTGAGATAGACCAACGAGGATGAGAAACAGCAGGTATCAGGTGTCTGCATGTACACTGGCTTAAAATAAAGGCAAAAATCTCAGTCAGAGCTGGGTGTGGTGGTGTGCACCTGTAATTCCAGGTACTCAGGAGGCTGCGGCAGGTGAATTGTAAGTTTGAGGTCAGCATGGCAATGGAGCTGTGGGTATAACTTAATGGCAGAACACCCCTGGACTCAATCTCCTGTACTCAGGGAAAAAAGAAGTAAGTCAAGTCCAGATACCAGCAACTAGAACAGCTGAAAAAAAATGTCATTCTGAGATAGTTTGCTTCAACCAGGAGGCATTTGTGTCCTTTGCACCATTATATAGGATGCCACCAGAACATCTATGTGTGTGATCCTATACTTTTGGCCTAAATAGGCTAATAGGAAATGTATAATGGGGAAAGCCAAGTTGAGTTAGTAATGAAATATTCATTTACTTAATCAATGTAAGATCTCCTAAGGACCCACTGATTACAAACCCCCAAATTGGATTTTATTGTATTTCATCATATTACATTATTTAGTGCATGGGTAAAATAATGTATGAGACCAAAAAAGTATGTCATGAAGATACTTTTTCAAAACAGTGATTAAGTAATTCTCCCACTATGTAAGTTTTCAAGAATGATGTCCCAGACATGTGAAATTGACAAAAGGATGTTACTCTTTCACCCATCAGCAATTAAGTTCTTACTTTAAATTTCTTCTTTAATTCTTGTTCTTTCTTTTCTTTCTCTTTCTGTTCCTTTCTCTCTAGTTCTAATCTCTTCTTTTCCTCCTTTTCCCGTTTCTTGTCTCTTTCTCTGGATGTTTCTCTGTGAACACAAATTTTAGGTTGTTTTCCCATCAGCAGGTGTCAATGGGTCAGGGCTCACTATCTAGAGAGGTTGAATAAGAACTAGGTAAATAAAATTAAGATAGCTGGGCTCAACATATGATTAAAAACACATTCATGCTTACTTTTACCCTGGAAACCCATTTTGGAGCCATTTTTAACATCTTTCCAGCAAGATGAAACTTTGGCATGTGGGTACTGTGCTAACTGCTTCTCACAGGCCACCAGTGTCCAGATGAAGAAGGCATAATACATATATTAATTCATTTGCTCAAGAACACACAGAAATCAAGAAATACAGATTCCTATGTCTGATTCCCTGCCTGTGGTCTTTCTAGTAGTCTGCAGGTCTATAGCCTTTCACACAATCACTTGTTAATAGAGTCCTCTATAGAATCCTTAGAGAAATAAGGAAATTTAAGTTCTTTGTATGGAAATTATCATTACATGCCAATCATTTGAACAAAATGAACTTGTCCCCCTGGTGTTGGTATATACCCACACTCCCTCTTACAAAACATATTCATCTTAGAAGAAAACTATTATGGTAGAAAATATAGTTCATACATGTCTTCATATGTTTCTCCTTCACTTTCTTGTTCCTGTCAAGAAAAACATAGATAATGATTAATTTCAATTCTTCAAAAAGGTAACATGAACATATTTCATTGATCAAATATTTTGTTAAGCAAGATTTTGCAAATTTATGCAATTTAAACATAAGTAAGTTTGGCTTACTTAATTTTTTTTTAATCTTGAGAGATTAGGAAAGCAAGCACAAAAGGATTTCATGTTTTATCTTGCTGTATCATTGAGATGTGTAGATAGACATGTTTATGTTCAGCACCACAACACTACATGTACTGATTGTTTTTTAATGTCTCAAGCATTTTGAATGAGGATTATAAATAGAAAAAAATCACTGCTCATAAAAATTTTCATTTTGTTTATAAGAAAATAATAATATTAAATATTCTAATGATAACAGTACAATATAAACAGAAAATTAATAAAATCTGACCTCATCTAGAGTTCCAGTACCTAAAGGATTTGAAAAAAACAAATTTAATACATTGTTATTAAGAGGCACTTTAATATGCGATTTTCTGATATAATCTGATAATACTTGAAACAGTTCATAATCTTACAGAATTCATGCATTAACAGAGATATAAAGAACAAAATAGAATATGTCTTAGATCCTTACTATGGCTTTTTTCATAACTGTAATTGAATTATAAAATAATTTTATTTGCTTTCATAAAATAATGCAAAAGCCAAAAAATTATAACATCATTTATTCCTTATAAGTAAGGCAGACTCATTTGGTTGTATGGGCTCATGTAAAACAAAGCATTATTTTAAAAAAATCACAAATAGTTCACACTTTTGACACATTTGTTCCCTAGGGTTTTTCTTTAATGTATCAAATACATCAAGTTAATTAGATTTTTAAAATATTTTGCTCTTGAGAGTTTTGTATAACATCCACTATTCCCAGTACCAAGACATAATGTAATATTAAGAGCAATAAGTTGGTAATACTAAGAGCATTTTAGTACAAATAGTGAAGTGTTGGTATAAGATCAGACAAATAAACCAATGGAACAGACCAGAGAGTTCAATAACAGATACAATTTACATAGACACAGCCATAGACACATTTAGAGTTGACAGAGTATAATGGTGACACTTTAAATTAATGAGAAAAGGATGGATTGTTTCCAGTATGGTAATTAGAAAACCAGCTTCAGATATGAAGCAGCAAATCTAGATTCCTACTGAATTCTCAAAGGGTCAAAGGGTGGGAGCAGTGAAGATGTTAAAGACCTAAATACAACTGATGAAGTTCACAGAAAATAGAAAACAGTTTTATTTCCTAGGAAGGAAGACTTTTTAAACAAAACTTAAAAACCACATAATGTAAAACAAAAATTAATGAATTTGATTATATCGAAATTTATGTCCCAGGAAGGACAGCATGGACTAAGTTAAGAGACAGCAAACAGAACTGGGAAAAAATATTCCCAGTGTTTGAAATTGACATGAAATCAATATCTACAACGTAAAGGAACTCCCAAAGGTGAACTGAAAAAGATGAAACTCCAGAAAAAACGGTCAAAGGATAAAATCTGGCAACTTATCAAAGAGGGAACCACAAAGGTAAGTTAAAGAAACACTCAAGCTCAAGAGTAAGAAAGAAAATTATAAAGAAAATTAATATGAATGAAAATATTGAAATTTAGATGAGATGTAATTTTGTACATATAAGATTGAGAAAACATTGGAAAGCTTCACAAAAATGCCACATGCAGCACCACGATCAAGTGGGGTCATCCCAGGGATTCAAGTTTGGTTCAACATACAGAAATCAATAMACGTAATTCATCACATCAATTGACTCAAAGATAAGAACCATCGATCATCGCAATAGTTGCAGAAAAAGCATTTGACAAGATATAGCACTGCTTCATGTTCAAAACACTAGAAAAACTAGGGATAACAGGAACATATCTCAACATCGTAAAAGCTATCTATGCTAAGCTCCAGGCCAACATCATTCTAAATGGAGAAAAATTGAAAGCATTCCCTCTAAAAACTCAAATGAGCCAGGGATGCCCTCTTTCACCACTTCTATTTAACATAGTTTTTGAAACACTGACCAGAGCAATTAGACAGATGAAAGAAATTAAAGGGATACGAATAGGAAAAGAAGAACTCAAATTAGTACTATTTGCCAATGATATGATTCTATAGCTAGAAGAGCCAAAAAATTCCACTAGAAAACTTCTAGAACTAGTAAATGAATTCAGCAAAGTAGCAGGACATAAAATCAACACCCATAAATCAGAGGCACTTCTGTATATCAGTGACAAATCCTCTGAAAGGGAAAAGAGGAAAATTATTCCATTTATAATAGCCGCAAAAATAAATAAATAAATAAATAAATAAATAAATAAATAAATAAATAAATAAAATACTTGGGAATCAACAAAAGAGGTGAAAGATCTCTACAACAAAAACTACAGAATGCTAAGGAAAGAAATTAAAGAACCTTAGAAGATGGGAAACTCTCCCTTGTACAAACACATGCATCAAGTATACTAGGATATTTGTCTATGTCAGGCAAGGGGCAGAAAGGGAGTGAATAATGGGATATAAGGAAATAAATAAGTAGATCAAGAGAGGGATCTTGCCTGGAATAATAGTGGTAATAACTCATCAATGACACTATGAGAATGATTAATTCAAATTTCTGTACTGAGGTAACAGATATTTTTCTGCCCCTTACCATCAGAGTACATGACACCATCTTGATTTTCTTCATTTACAGGGTTTCTGAAAAAAAAAAAGAAGAAAAAAGCATGAAAATGGAACAAGTAGATGCTCACCTTACAATGGARAAGAGAACAAGAATTATTGTCTGAATTATTCTTTCCTCTTTTATACTTGCCCTGATTGAAAACTTCAGACACACTAGAAGAGACTTAGCCTATTCTATATGTAGCTGCTGTGGCAAGAAAATGGGGAATTGAGAAGCTCAAGTACAGCACTGTCCACTCATAGTGGACACAGAGTTAATCATTGCTTCAGGGGAGTGATCACATTGTCCATTAAATATGCAGTATACCAACTGATCAGTTCTGGGATTCTCAAGGCTTTGGATTGGTTCTTTGGCATATATGCCTAAAAGGATTAATTGGTTTCAATCCCCAACTCCTTCCTCTTTAGATGGAAGCCACTTGGCTTTACTTCCATGGTTGTGGTTTAGACTCCAACGTGCTTCCTCCGCCTGACTCCAGCTGCTCTTAATATCCTTATCAATACCTGGACCCCCCAAATTCCTAATGTTTTATGGAGCCACCTCCCCATCTCATTTTCTACTCCTTTTCTCAGATTGATGAGCACAGCTGAAAAAAAATCACTGGTCTTATTGACTCCGCACTTTATACATAATTGGCATCCAGTCTCAACTCTAGCCTCAGTGCTATTGTATAACCTTCTTTTGCAGCCTCCTTCTCAATACTTGTTAAAAACCTTCACTACTGTCTTCAAATCTGCTATTCCTACCCTCTCCCCTAYAATCAAATGACCTTATTTCTCACTTCACTGACAAAATAGCAATAATTAGATATGAATTCTCTTAAGATAGTAAACTTATTCCCTTAACCCACAAACTCATCTACAGTTATACCTGCTCTTACCTTCTCCCTACAAAGTCCTTCTCTTCGGCTCTGTTCTGAATCCTATCTGATTCTCAGTTACTATTCCCTTTATTCCATGGGCTGAAATGATATTTATATTCTTTTCCTTCCTTTGCTCCCCATCTCTAAATATCTGAGTCATTGTCTTCTACCTTATTCCATATTACTCTCTTCCATTAAAAAAAGAGCTATCACATCTCTGCTTTTCTGAATCCTCTACATTACCACAAGATAATCCTATTTTTCCAAGTCAAGCTACAAAATGTCGACTCTACTTCCTTTCTTCCTGATCATTTCTTCATTGACCACAATCTGTCTTCTATTGTAATTCTTCACACTAAAACAACTTAAAAAAATCTTACTTACCAAATCCAGTATATACCGCTTAGCCAGACTCTTTTGTTTTGTAACCCTTGACAGAACTGGCCTTTGTTTGTTTCTGTAAGAACTATCTCCTGGCTCAYTTGTCTCTCTGGCCACTATCCCACAATTTCCTTTGTAGATTTGTTTTCTTTTAACTTCCTCTCTAAGTGATGATATTCTTTTGCCTTTGTGTTCTGGCTTTTTTTCTCCCTGCCGCCTGCCYGCCTCCACCCCACTCTACAATCATCCCTGAATGGTTTCATATACTACCACAGCTTCACGTCTTATCTTAATGTTGGTAATTTCCATGTTGGAATCCCTAGTCCACACCTCTTTTTGAGTTTCAGCCCATTTTATATTTCCCTTTTCCATGCCAACCTACACCTGTTCTTGCTGTTCTTGTCTTAATGAATGAACCACAATTCCAAGCAAGCTTTAGGTCATCCTGTATCTCTCACTTTTCTTTAGCCTCACATTAATCATCAAATTCTGTCAGTTCTCTGTATTTAATATCTCCTATAATTCCCTTTCTTCTTCTATCTCTTGCTTCTCTCCTGCTAGATGTTGAGAACAGGATTACATTCTGGTTATGGCCTCTTGCCGTAGGCACCTGGCGAGTCTYGTAGCCATCAGATTCGTTCCTCCTCTTCCCCACACTGACATTTTCTTCTCTAATTTTTGCTAAAGTGATCATTCTAACACAAACAAAAACATGGTTGCATCACTTTCAGGCTCAATACTCCCACGGTTTTAAGAATTAGGAAAGAGTGTTACTTGGACCCACYGCTGTTTGCAAAACTAATCCCATTTGAAGAGGGTGTGCTGGAAACACCTTATCACTGACCATAAACAGGATTCGTGTTTGTGGCTTCACAAGAATTTTTCTTTTAATTTAAACATTTTTCTTGGGTTTTATTTTTTTCTTTTTTGGAACTTTGGGGATATAAAGGCAGAGTGTGAAATCGGCATAAGAAAAATGAGCACCTCATGATTACATGGCTTGGTATCTGTCTGTCCTGCTTCCCAAGGGGATATATTTAAACACTTCGATGGAGCTCTCTTATTCTCAATATCTCCACTTCTGTACTTTATTCCGTGTTTCTTTTTATAGTTTTTGTTTGATTGTTTGTGATAAAACATACATAACATAGAAATCACCATTGTAGCCATTTTAAAGTGTATAATTCAGGGACATTCTGTACCTTCTCCACATTGTATAACCATTTCACTCTTTAGCCTAAATTGTGTTTCATCACCCCAACTGGAAATTCTATGCTCATTATTCAGTCACTTCCTGTCCCTTTCCCCAGCATCTGGCAACCATGAAATCTACTTTCTGTCTCTATGGATTTGCCTATTTTGGACATTTTCTAAAAATGAAATCATATAATATGGGACCTCTTATGATGGACTTCTTTTTCCAAATTAGCACATATTTTTACTAACATAACATCTGCACATATTTTKGGGGTATGTTAGGATAATTTTATACTTGTATGTAGTGTGTGAATGATTGAGTCAATCTTCATCTTCTCAAACATTAGTCATTTCTATGTGCTGGGAAACTTTTAACTCTTTTAGATATTTTGAAATAGGACATAGATTGTTGTAGACCATAGTTACTGTATTATGCTGTAGGCCACCAGAACTAATTCCTCCTAGAACTAACTCCTGTCCACTTTGGGTGTGGCTCAGGAAGAGTCCCTAAGGCTGTATGTGTCTGAGTTTCTACTTGAGGTGGTGGTGTTTATGAATTAATAATCAAACTTATATTTGCTTAGATTTGTTTTTAGATACATGTGAAGGCCAAATTCATCAATTTTTGACAAGACACCTTTTTCATTTTGTGAGCCTTTTTAGTCCTTGGAGGATTCAGAATTAAATACAGAAATGACTGAGTAGGCTTATCTCACAATAAAAAAAAATGATGTGGAGTAAGTTTTATAATCATTAAGACAATATGTATCATCAATATTTTGAGCATTTGTCATATTTAAGAGTTGTTATATTAGACAATGTTCAGTTTGAGAATTGTGGTTTAGGTTTTTTAAATTCTAGTTGACTCCAGGTATTGATTAAGGACTCCAGATATTGAGTACCAATTGTTGTTCACATACCAAAAGGAGAATCAAGTGTATGTTATGAGCTCCTGATGAAAGATTATGCCAAAATCCAGGGACAAGTCCTGCCAAAAAATCAAACTAAAATAAATAATAAAACAATAAAAAAAATTCATGAGGTCACCTCTACATCCAACTGTCAATCTACTAGAAATACAGAAGAAAGAGGAACACTAAACTGCATTATAGAGAAGCAATCAGCAGAAACTAGACTATGGGTAATTACAGTATTCACAAACTACTTGGCTTTCTCAACAAATAAATTGCAAAGAATAAAAAAAGGACATGGAGGATAAACCTATGTCTTAAAGAGAAGTATAAACATAGAGGCTAACAAATAGATGTAGATTTTGGATTCTGTTCAAACTGAAAACACACATGAACACGATGTTAAGAGACAATTGGAAATTTCAGCACTGACTTGATATTTTATATTAATACACAGAGTCTATTTTTAGGGATATGTATGGAAGCTACTAAAACATTATGGATGAAATTATAGTTTTGATAGTTTAGAAAAATATAAGAGGAAGAAAGAGGGTGAGAGTATGAATGAATTGAGACTGAGCATGTGTTCATAATCACCAAAGTCAGTGATGGAAACATGGGGACTTATTATATTATTATCTCTGCCTTTTGTATGCTTAAAATTTTTATAATAAAAAAGTATAAGAATAATTTTAAAAAGTATAAGAATAATTTATTTGCAAATGTTATTGAAATATTAAAGAGAACTGGATGTAGTTTTATTTAGTAGATTTTTGAGTTATGGGGAGGGTTTTGTTTGGTGGGATCATTACATTTGATCATTAGTGGGATCATTAAATCATTAAATTAAAATTGTCTCTCAGATGTTTGAAATGCTTATAAAAGGAATTTAATATGTTATATTTATACATGTAATGTGAAACTTCTAAGGGAGTTTAATAATTAAATTTATAAACAGAACAATGGAAAGAGTTTAGTCTGATCCATTTGAGCTGTCCAAATATTAATCAAAGATCCTCCTGAAAAGAATTCTTTAGATAAAAGTTGCTAGATGTGCAAATAGAATACAAGTTATATAATGTAAACTAAAGTACTTAAGATAAACTAGGACTCTGAATCATTAACTTTAATGAATTGAATATCAGGTAAAAAGAGATCAAGACACACTGGCATTCTACAGAATGGAGCCTATGGTACTTTTCATGGTGTGCAGGTTCTGTGCAATGGATTCTGTTCTTTCACAGTTTTATTTCTCATATTTGCTCTTATATCAGCTTCTCATTTATTAATACTGAACTTGTGCCCCCTATGGACACTCTCTGGTTTCATTTCTCCTTGATTAGCCCAGCTTCCTTTCTCTGAAATAATCCTCTCTTCTCCTCATGTGCTGTTGTGGCCCTCCTGTGCTGTGTATCCTGAACACAGCCTCTGCAGAGTGACCCCCAGCTCCCCAAAGCCCATTAATTGCTCCCTCCATGTGTCATCCACCCATCCTTTAACATGACTATCTTGGATTATTTTGAAATTATATAACAATTGCTTACGGCCTTCTCTTCTCACTACCAGACTGCAATGCCCTTGAAGAAAGGGGTTGTCACTTTGGTGCTTAATTTATTATTATGATTATCATTTTTAGAAAGCTATTAAAAAGAAATCCTGTCAT